TTCACAGCTGCGTCGGTCATGGCTTCGGGGATGTTGCGAAAATCACAACACCAGCGACTTGGTTGGAACAATTTTAAAATTGGCTTGAGCCGCAGCCATGTTTCCCCCAAGCAGTGAGGTAGCGCTATGAGTAAAGGATCACTCTGGGAAAGGGGATGTATCAGGACATCACTCTGCGAAGTGTAAGGGTTGAAGCCCGCACCTGGCCCGTCTGCACCAACGTCTCTTTCGTCTCCGGATTCTGGAGGATCATCATAACGACCTGCAACCCCAAACCAAACCCGGATGGTTCGAAGGTTCGGATTCTGTCCGATCCGTATTATTTGCCTCAAACGATCCTCAACTGCATAGCTAAAGCTAAACCCCGTGCTCAATCCCCAAACTCGACACTTGGATCGCAAGCCTCCATAAGCCACAAACCCATGAAGCCCAAAACCTGAACTCAAAGTCCCGAGACCTTGCACAGCCTGAACCCCATGAACCCGAAACACTGAACCCCTAAACCCTAAGCCTAACCCTAAACTCAAAACCCGGAATGCCAAAAACTCGAAGGCCTCGGTGATGACGAGGATTTCGCCACTGGGCACCTGACTCTTCATCTTGTACTTCGGCGGCAAGCTCAGGAACAAAACCTAGGGACTTCCATATATCTATATGTATATATGTATATACATATACATGTATACATATATACATATATACATATATACATATATACATATATACATATATACATGTATACATATGTACATATGTACATATATACATATTTACATACATACATATATACATATACAAGTGTGTGTATATATATATATATGTATACATGCATACATGCATACATGCATACATATCTACATGTACACATATACATGTACATACATATATACACATGTGTGTGTATATATACATACATACATACATACATACATACATACATACATACATACATACATACATATATATAGGGGCCTGAATAATTTTCTTAACTTCGAGGCCCCCAACCTAGAGGCGACCGCCGCGTCGCGCCTGCAGAAGGCGTGTCTCGCCCTTGATCAACTCGGAAGAGAATTCCTTCAAGCTCCTTAGGTCGACGCCATGGGGCTCTTTCTGTTTCGGAGTTTGGGGGTTCGGCGTTGATGTAGGGGCCTGAATTAAAATAGGGTTTGGGGGCTCCTTGTTATAGTTATAGTATAATCTGCCCCAAAGACCCTATTCTACTATTAGAGTTTCGCGGTTTCGGTTGGCGGTTTGGGGTTCGAGAGTGAGGGTCTTGGCTTGGAGGCTTTTGCGTTTTCGACTGGGGCGGCTCTATGGGCTCCGACGGCGGCTCGTCTGGTTGTCGATGCCCGTGTTTAGCAGTTAGGGTTTAGGGTTTAGGGTTTAGGGTTTAGGGTTTAGGGTTTAGGGTTTAGGGTTTAGGTTTTTGGGGTTTAGGTTTAGGATTTAGGGTTCGGGGTTTAGGGTTTCAGGTATCGGTAT